TTTCCATTCCAAACGCGGGTCCCGGGTTCGAATCCGGTCTAGGAAAATTCACTTTTTTATTTTTTTTTTATATGTACAGCACTGAATACACGATAAAATTTTAAAAACGGATTGTTTGTAGCAGAACAATATAATATTATAGCTAAATTAAGGAAGCATCTGACAGTAGTGATTAATGACTCATTAATCACTGCCGTGATTAGTGGTTATTATTAAGGTCGAGCAAACAGACGTATAATGGGTACATTATACAATAGTCGTGGATAAAATATATTTATCACCGTCTAGCAAACTAAACGAATTTTTTAGTTTTCTTTATATGGAATTAGCTTATTTTCCCAAAATTTGTTGTTATTCTCTACTTTCCATGTTTACCGATTTTAACATTATCTGGTCAAGTATTTAAAAAAATTGTCTAATTTGAAAATTTTTCCAATTAAAACTATTGCCCTTGTTTACTACCAATTTTTCAGAGATACCTTGAATATAGATTGAACTTTTAGAATGCATATTACAACAGCACATGATGTTATTAATATGGTGGGTCGGGTTCGGTAACTAAATGGAAACAAGTGTTTGTCTTAACTCGTACTGAAATGTCGAGAAAATAACTAATTTTCAGAGCAAATGTCAAAATATAGACTCGTAAAAAACGGGAAGAACTGCAGATTCAATTTATGATGCGTCAACTAGGGGTAATTCGTGAATGTTCTGTGTATGAGATAAATTATTTATTCAAAGTACGATAGTTTTCCGGGTTGTTACGCCGTGACATAGGCATATGATCGCCGCCAGGTGCAGACATACCTTGCTCTTTCTCAACCTTAGCTAAGAATCTTTGATCTGCACTTGTTCTTGGGCTATGCTTTGTGGGGGCGGATACATTATCAGAACTCTAGGTCAGCCCTGATCGTCATTTCAGCTCTCATTGGTTCTAAGACCGCTTCAGGGGAACTGTTGTTCTGAAGATTTTGCTGTCACCACTAAAGATGCTGACAGTAAAGAACGGTGAAACATATGGAAACATAACAGTAACTGTTAGCGACCGGATACATAAGCCATCCTATAACAACCTGAAAAATCATGGTACTTTAAATATCAGCACGGACCATGAAAGCCTTAAAATCAATAAAACTATTTATATCCGAGATTATTGTCGTAAGTAATTTAAATTCTGATAAAACTGTATTAGTTAACAAGCATTTTTTTTAAACAATACAATGACTTTTATAAAGACTTCCATATTAGCATTATTTCTGCAGTAAACTGACAGTTTGCAAACTGCTTTTTATTACGCGTGAACGATTGTGGACTATTTGTTCTGGAGGTTGGGCTGTAAGGATGGTTTTTTAGTTTGCTATTTTACACTGGAATTCTAAAGTAGTAGAAGTTTTTTGTTTTTATTTTCCATACTTCCAAATATGTGTCCTACTATGCCGTAATCAGTAATCATTACTTTGCACAGCAATCCGCCAAAAATCCTAAGTAAATATGTACAATCAATATTAACTTAAAAGTTAGCTCACATAAAATAACCAAGCGTCGAATATAAGGCAACTTGAATTAACGAAATTACTGCACATGTCGCGGAGTGGCAGTCAATAGATAAATCTCCAACCAGTATGAGCAAACGGTTTGGTGACACGTTGAAAATCGTACACGAACACCAAATTACTTAATGCGCTTACTCCAGACGATTAGAAGCCGTTGGACACTGCTGCAGAAACAAACTGGTAAAAAAAGTAATAATTTGTTGCATCTATCGACGCTAATTCCATATTGCCACCCTTTGTTCTATACAGGGTAAATCATAATCAAGTAGAAAAAATTGAACCAAAGAATACAACTTAGTAACAAAATGCTCTCTTAAAAAAATGTTTATTGTTTAATTTTTTAACGAACATTTTTCAATAAAATTAGACAAAAAGAAGTTTTTGTAATAGCAAAATATAAGCTTATCATTTACGTAAAGCAAGAGGTCACTAAGAACACTGTTTACGTTGTACCAAATTTTTTGTTGGAAGAGACTTTGAGAAAATGTTTCTTCCCTCGTCACTTTACTGTCCTTATTTTAAAAATTAAATACTGTTAAATATTACAAAGTTCCCGAGATAAATGAATTTTAATTTTATGCACTATGCAGTTATAGAAGTTCGCGAAAACTTAACCTTTATTAACTTCACGGAGCTATAAACAATCTCTGACTACAGATAATACACCGCTATACGATAGAGACCATTTTACTGCTTTAATGCAATGTTCTTATTAATCCAACACGAGATGACATGCTTTGTAATACATCCCCAACAAAGATAATCCTCACTATTGTGTTTCTCACAATCTGAAACTTTATGTGTATATTCCAAATATTACAAACTCGTCTTACTTTGTAGAATAACGTCTTTTGTGTTATTCCAAAGACGAAGAATAAGCGTTCGATGTTAAATTATGTTTATATTAAACTATGAAATGTTTGATATTTCATTTCATCTAATTAAATTTTTCTTTGAGTGAGTAAACAGTTACCTATCTGAAATTCGATACAGCAACATTAAGATATACGTAATATCTTTTCCGTCTCATTATACGGTAAATATCTAACTGGCTTCTTCAAAACACCTTTTTTAACAAAAATTAATTCAAGTTTTTCAAGTTTGAGTATTTTTAAATTTTCATTTGTTTTCAACATAATGTACATAATATGTGTATTGACAATTTGATTTAATTGTCCAACTTTCATAGTTTGTAAATTAATGTTAAAATAGAGAACGATATGTTTGGATACCCTTGAGCACTTTTAAATTTAAATACCTATATTTTATTATTTGGTACAGAAGGATTTCTGAGGATATTAAATTAAAATATATCTCAAACTTCTAGATAAAAAGTAGGTAATATAATTATTTAAAAGTCTCATTTTAGAAAATTTTTAAAAATGTTTCAACTTTAAATAACTGAGATATAAGGTGGTTCCATGAAAAATGAAACACAGAAACTAAAAAACAAAAGACCTAACCGTAAATAGTATGCATTTTCTTTAAATAGTTAAATAAGTATTTACTGTGTCATTAAAGAAATAAAAGAAAACACTATTGTTCTCTTCTTTGGAATATCTACAAGATACAAAAGTTTTTATACAAGGTGTCCGTTAAAGAATGGGCCAAACTTTACCACTAGATTCTACGACGAAAATTAATAGGGAAAAGACATATACAATGTTGATCATAAACGCTTAGTTTTCGAGATACAGGGTGTTGAAGTTGAAAAAATTAAAAACAATTTTCAGGCATATTTCTAACATACGAAGGTATTTTTTTTTAAATTGATATAAGGAGTTTTAACGGGGACCTACATCATTTGCTGTGATTTCACGTCAATACAAAAAACCGGGGGCGTATGTAAACTATATTTTCAAGACTCTTTTCTAAAAAAACTAAATGTTACACCAATGCGTGAAGCGGAAATAAATAACATTTTTCAAATTTTCAGTTATTTTTCAGCATAAAAGGTATACTTTTTGAATATCGCTGAGAGGCTCCGTTTTTGAAAAAAATAAGAAAAACATAAATTAAACATTAATTATGTTTAAAATTATTTAAGAAATGCCCCCCATTTGACTAAAAACATGTTAGAAATCTCTTTAAGAAATGTGAAAAATGATGGATCATGTGAGTTCTAAAGTTCAAAGAAATTTCTTCTGGTGGTTCAATTAAATTAGATTGTAGAAAGTACAGATAACTTTGGTCGTTTAAAGATGCCAGAAGTTCAAAGGGCCCAAGAAGACGATCGTCAATCATTCCGAATCAAATATAGAAATTAGGTTATCCACGAAGTGCACATCCTTGCCGACTTTAAACGCAGTTTTTTAAAAAACGGTGCTTCTCAGCGATATTCAACAAGTATACCTTTTATGCTGAAAAATCATTGAAAATTTGAAAAATGTTTATTTTTTCCAGTTTACGCAGTGGCGTAACATTTATTTTTTAGAAAAGAGTCTCGAAAATATAGTTTGCACTCTACCAATTTTTTTTATTGACGTGAAATCGCAGTAAATGATGTAGGTCGTTAGAACTCCTCATATCAAATTAGAAAAAAAACCTTTAATAGTGTAAGAAGAGAATAGTGTAAGTTTCGCATCGCTGTAAAACCCTAATAAATAAATACAATTTGAAAAAAGTTTGTAATGGAAATTATTCCTTGACAACCCCTCTATCAAAATTCTCTGATATAATTTTTTTGTAAAATGACCAGAAAAAAGTTATAACAACCAAAAGAAAATTTGTTCCCAAATTTTTATCTATTTTCGTTAATAACTTTGTTATTTTTGGTTCTACGACAAAAATGTTAGGGCACCAAAGTTGTAGAGAATTTAATTTGCAACAAAAAATGTATTTACAAATTTTCTGTGCGACGAATAGTTTGCTCGATATAGTAAGTAGTAGTATAAAAACCATTCGCAGCACTTTTTACAAGATGGCGGCCGAGGCACAGGGGTTGCGACCCCACAAACATGGATTTAACATTACACTAACCCCCTCTGGACATCCAAAAAATAAAATTGGATGCCCTGACTATTGCACGCTAAGCCCAAAAAAATGTATCATTTCAATGGACTACTTGACGTATTTCCGAGATATGCCTGAAAATCGTTTTTATTGTTTCGACACCTTGTATCTCGAAAACTAAGCGTTTATGAGCAACGTTTGTATATGAATTTTCCCCATTAAAGTTTGGCTCATTCTTTAACGGACATCCTGTATATTTTATGTTGTATCAAATTTCAAATACATGGTAAATTTATAAAATATTGTTGATGCTTTAACGTTGAGAGTTATTCGAGAAAACATAAATAATTCATATTTTCAAATAAACCAGGATATTGCTGCTCCTAAACTTAACACTGCATAATTTGTCGTCGTAACGATATCGACATTAACGATACGCCTTGACCTAATATGCACCGGATACACCACTGACCTGACCCACTTTCTCGATTCCAGGGTACCACCCAGCGAGCTGCTGCTGCGTTTGGGAGAGCACGATCTCTCCACCGAGTCGGAGCCTTATTTGCACCAGGAGCGTCGCGTGCAGATAGTGGCGTCCCACCCGCAGTTCGACCCCAGGACCTTCGAGTACGATCTGGCGCTCCTGCGGTTCTACGAGCCAGTTAACTTCCAGCCCAACATCCTGCCCGTTTGCGTGCCGCAGACGGACGAAAACTTCGTCGGAAGGACCGCGTATGTCACCGGATGGGGGAGGTTGTACGAAAGTAAGTACATACAAGAAATAAGTGGTGTTTTGTCACTAAATACTAAGCTACAAAGAAAGTTTATGCGAACTGTACAAGCAATTTCGCTTTTCTATTACTAAATAGGACACCGTTTTGAGGTTTCCTCGTTGTTTCTTTAAATATGACACCCAAGATAACACACGTTCACGACATCCAATGATTTCTTAACAGAAATCTGTAAGCAAATAAACAAGATGCTACGGCTACCTTTTGTCGACACGCCCTGTAAATTATAAGCATATCTACTACGTTCGTTTTCATTTTGACCCCATTTGAGACCTTAGAATATAAAACATGGGAATATTTTATATTCAGCATCGAATTTTTAGAATATTTTAGTTTTTTGCAGGGACAATATGCTGTCATTGTGTGGGCAATTCTTTCAATATGCTAGATTCATTCACTAAAAGAAAGTGTACAATTAGAATTTGTTAGGAAAATGACATAGTAAAAGTTGAAATGATAAATTAAAGTTGATGTGAATTAGATATTTTAGATATTAGTGTCTAAACACTGTTACAATTTAAAAATATTCTTATACAGGGTGTCCCGCATAAAAAGCGACACAGGGCAGGTGCATGTAGGGGTGTCCAAAATATTGTAATTTAACCTAACTTACCTATATACAAAGTTGCACCCCTGAGGAGTTATTAGCCCCCAAAGTGGGGCCCTAAATTTCGAAAAAAATTAATATCTCTGCAACACTTTACCGTAGAAGAACCAAATTTGATACATGATTTAGGTTTATTACTGCTACTGGTCTTCTTTGACTATGACTTAAAGTTAATTGAAGCACTACAAGGTGTTCATTGGGGATGACTCACCCCTAAAATTGTACCGAACTTGTTTTTCATTGACCGAATTGAAAAATAATAATATTAATTCACAGCAGAATTTAATTTAAATTTTTTTTTTACTCTTGTTAAATTTTAAAAAACTTTATGGTTTTCAAGAAAAACCGTATTAACTGAAACAAGATTTTAACAGTGTTTATTAGAAAATAATCGAAAAGTCAGTAGTAAGCAATAAATTTATCTTTCAAACTTGTCAGTTAATAATAAAATTATTTTATTACAACAATTGTCTCTGACTGTTGTTGAAAAAATATCAATTATTATTTTTATTATTTATTTGTGTATTTTACTTCATACAATATTCGCTTATATAAAAACTACCTAGGTACTTGTTTTCTTTTGTCGAATTAGGAGAGAAGTGAAGTAAAATTTATTTGGCCAATTGTCAAATTTGAAATAAACACTGTTAAAATTTTGTGTGAGATGGGTTCTTCTTGAAAACTATAGTTTTTTTAAAATTTAACAAAAGTAAAAGAAATATAATTAAATTCTGCTGTGAATTAATGTTACTATTTTCCAATTCAACCAATGAAAAGAAAGCTCTGAACAATTTTAGGGTGACTCATCCCCAATGAACACCTTGTAGTGCTTCAATTTAAATCATAGGCAAAGAAGTAATAAACCTAAATCATGTACGAAATTTGATTCTTCTGCGGTAAAGTGTTGCAGAGATATTATTTTTTTTCGAAATTTAAGGCCCCACTTTGGGGGCTAATAACTCCTCAGGAGTGCAACTTATATATAGGTAAGTTTGGTTAAATTACAACATTTTGGGCACCCCTACATGTACCTGCCCTGTGTCGGTTCTTATGCGGGACACTCTGTATATTAGCAGAAATAGTCAAATTCGCCCTATTACTTAATCCTGCCTCTGTTTCCTGAAATTCAGAAATTATATTGTTTTAGTTCACATCATTTTAAAAGGCATGTTTTACAAACGTAAAATCGCCTATTTTATGACAAACCGCCCAATCTGACTATTAAAATGATCTCACATTTCCTTCAATTAACGCATAAAGTTCCTAAAAACATTAATAAAGTACCGCAATCAATTGGCAATTTGGGGCAAAATCCCTATTGCCAACCTTTAAATACAAGATTGAGTTTTCAATTCATTACGCAATTCCTCAGTATATCTCTCTATAATACTACTACAATTAAATGTTAATAGTTTTTTAATAAATAGCACAAATTGACATCTTTTTAACTGCTATTTTGGGACAAACAAATACATTGATTGAGGTTCATGGTCAATCCAAGGACTTTATTAACGAAATGATCTAAAGGGTATCTCAAAATTCATGCAAGAAGTAATTTTGATAGAAGACACAAGTTTTTAATTAAAAATTGAAAATTTTTTATTGATTCATATAGTATAAAGTATAAGGTTATGTATGGAGTAGCATATCGCATAAATGGTCTCCACGGCTTTGCTGGCAAATACCTTTTGTAGAAATTTTCCATGGCCATTTTGCATGCGGCCGAATTTTGTTAACACAACGCTCAATTTTCTTCAAGACGTGAGTGGTCGTGGGCTAGGTTGGCAAAACATTAGACTTAAAAAAAAATTAAAAAAAGTCCAACGGTGTTAAATCGCATCACCTGGGCGGCCAATTCTGATCACCAAAACGAGATATTACACTACCAGGAAATGACTCATGCCGTAATTGAAATGTTTCATGGGCTATACGGCATGTAGCACCGTCTTGTTGAAACCACATGTCGTTTACACCTATATCTTGCAATTTAGGAAAAAAACTGGATTATCATGTCGCAATAGCGAGCACCATTAACTGTTATTGCCTGATCACTCGCATTATTGAAGAAGAATGATCCAATGATGCCTTCTGCATAAAATCCGCACCAAACTGTGACATGTTGATGCATTTGTTTCTCAACTACCACTCGTGGATTTTCTGAAACCCAAATGCGACAATTTTGTCGATTAACAAAGCCATCAAGACGAAAATGAGCCTCAATGCTGAGGCTGATTTTGTTCGAAAAATCCGCATCCAGTTGTTGTTTCATAATCTGTTCAACGAACTCGTGGTCAATAGGCTTCAGTTCTTGAGTCAATTGAACTTTGTAAATATGAAGGCGCAAATCTTTCTTGAGAATACGCTGTAGAGAATTTCTCGGACTGTCCAATTCTGGAGCACGGTGCTCAATTGATGCTCTTGGACTGTCAGCAACAATCTCACGAACTTCTTCGATTATTTGTGTTGAGCGACTTGTTGAAGGATGGCAGAGTGTTTAAGATCACTAATTGATCCAGTCTCCTCGAATTTTTCAATTAACCTCTTCACATTTGACGAAATTAAATTACTATTCCGACCATATTATGTATGAAAATTGCGAGCAGTAATTGCCAAACCGATAGCGCTACATTTTTATTAACTCAACTGTCACTCTGTCTTTTTTTTCGTTAGCAACACTTTACCGCACAAATGGCGCAGAATTCAAATCTTGCATAAATTTTGGGACACCTGAAATACCCCTGGCGCAAGACATGGAAATTATTGGATTTATGGATTCTTATGCCAACAGATATTTAGTGATAATCCAAAGTTTTCGCATAATGACACAGTACAAGTAAAATGAAATTAAAAATTAAAATAAGACTATAATTACGGATTTAATTTAACTAATTCCTTCATTTAAAAAATACATATTAAAAAAAACATTTGAATTTTGTTTACAGTTGGAGGAAGCTATTGATCCTCAATTTAAAACAACTAGCTAGTTAAAATAGTTCGATAAATTAAATGCCTCATATTTTTGAACAGCAAATGGAGCAAAATGCTCAGGATCCAATGAGATCAAAACAGCCCAATTGAGCAAGAAATCATATCCAAAGATTAGGCTTTTTCAATTTCAGAAATATTAAAGGTAGAAAAGATATGTATTTTGAGAACATGTGTGTACGCCCTAACATCGGTCAGCAGTTCACTACGTTGTTCTACTGTTTTAATTTGTATCTAGTTAAAGTACATGCTCTCTAGACGTTCTTTAAATCACCCGTAATATCTAAACCGAGCACCTAATGCATAATTTAACGATGAGAAGTCGGAGTCGTCAATTCCACTAATTGGCTGTTAGTGTCCGTCTAAACTAATATAATTATAGCAGAGCGGCGCTGCAGATTTTCACCGTTACCAATCAGTTGCGTTTGAATTTTAATTTCCTGTTACAATTTTTACGTTTCAAGTTCAACTGCGATTCGATTCCGAGCAGAGGATTTTCAGTTCAGTGATGTTTTATGTACAAAACGACCATTTAACGATAACGACGGACATTCTACAGTTTTCAAGATAGAATAACATACATTTACGTTTGGGAAATGAGTGTTTCCGCTATAAAGGACTCTCAGTTGACCGTTTTAATAAAATATTGTTATTTCGTGCAAGGAAATGCATAAATAACATAAAACACTTAAAGTTGTGTTGTGTTGGACTGAATATCAATACGTGCATTTACAGGCAATGTAAGAGCATTGACACATAGCATTCCCATAACTGATGTAGGTATTTTACAACTACTTCGAAAGTTTAACCAAATTTAAAGAATCATCAGTTAAAAAACTTATTTGCCAAAGAAAAGACAACGAATAAAACTCAATAAATGCAAAAAATCAAGCAGATCTTGAACAACAAAAATTTTGCACTCTGATCAACAATTTTAATAACACTACACGCTTGTATCTACTAAGAAAATTAATGGCTTTCGAATTTATTATTATTATTTTTCAAAATGTTAAATAAGTACCAAAATTGTATGAATACTAGTGTAGCGACAAAAATACAAAATTAAATAAAAGTGATCATCGCATTGGTGTCAAAATAAACATATATTTTCTTACGAAAACACCGGTATACAGTTTGATGATAACGGAGATATGGCCAAGGAATTTTGCCATGTCGATATTTGATTATTCTTACTCAAGCCATAAGCTTTTGTTATAGTATTTCCTAAGTCAGGTGAACATGTATAAAAACGCGTAGCAATAAAATTTAATAAGTTTCATAGGCGTCCCTAAAAAAGTTTTCTGCTAAAGGTAGAAAATTATAATTTGTATATAATGTGTAGAAAATTTCTATTATATATTCATTTGGCCAACATATTTTAATAATTTATGTCCTCAAACAATTTTGTTATATTGATGGTAAATTTCGTTTTTTCCGTTTTAGAAGGTCTCTAAAATGGTTGTAATAATATTAGTAAACAAAATATATATTAATAGAAGGTGCCTATAATAAATTAAAGTTACTTGAATCACACCAAATTCCGCAGTGCTGCACTGTGCATTTGTTGACAACTGAATTTATAGCCAGGTCGCCCAGTGCGGCTGTGTTTGTGCCGCGTTTGCCCACGCGCTCATTCTTCAACTGGGTGACCAGACCTGTATATGGGTACGGCTAAATAAATATGGGAACAAGTTTTTCAAATATTTCAATGCCGAGTTGCTGCGTATCGAGCGAACCTGATACATACTGCCAACCTCTCCGTTCTTCAATTGAGATCGGAAATACTATACCAACTTGGCTAATCAAGCTGTTGTTTTATTTGTGCGTGTGTAGCGGGCTTTCCTCAACTCCCTCACAGCTCACAAAAAACTATATGTTTGCGTTAATTTTGGACGATACATATTTCCAAAATGAAGTGTTTCCGGTCACACGTTTATCAGAAAATTTTTGTTAATTTTTGAAGTAAAATCAGTCATTAAAGCTCGATAATACAACTCACATACCTAGATCATGTATACGTATGAAATTTTTCGTAGACAAATAATATGTTTTTCTTAAAACTACTTGTTTCGTTTTATATTTTTTCTATTTCAGACGTACAGGGGGTAAAACTGTTGAACGCTAAATATATTAAACAACAATGCTAGTGCAGTATGTTTTTAAATTTTATTTTACTCCTTATACCTACATATACATAGAATGTATTTAAGTTCATCAGCACGATTTTATTTATCACACGTTCAAATTAAATTTCTTGTGAGCGCTCACACAGGGTGTACCGAATTTTAACTACGAAAATTAAGGAATTCATAAAGAAAATAAAAATAATGACATTCGAAAACGTAAAAAAGTTGTATCTCTAAATACCTTCTGAACAAATGAAGATGTTGAAATGAAATTATATGAGCACAATATATAAATGAAATGGTATTTACTGTGAAAAAAAAAATAAGTCTGAGCTAAATCAATAGCATATAAACAAATAATGCTGACTACATTTTCATGAAAAATTATACATCAATGAAAAGTAAATGTATTTTAGAAATTTTTGAAACTCAAATTTTGGCTTGAAGTTGAATTTTACTCATGTATTGTGCGCACAAAATTTCGTTTAAATGTCTTCATTCGTTCCCAAGATTTTTGGAAGTATAACTTTTAACAGAATAAATTCGTAAACAAATTTATGTAACAAAGTGTCATTAGGTACTTTTACTTTTTCTGAACGTTTCCTCAATTGTTCTGGATAACCCTAACCCTAACCTAACTCTAATTCCGTCCGATAACGTGACAAAAAACGCAAGGACCCATTTCATAATTGTACCAATATTATTATTTAAAAAGTACAAGTAACACATTTCAACACACTGACCAGAGACTTGGTTTTGGTTACAAAACTGCGGGATACTAGAGGCGAATTATTGGGGCTGTCCTAATTGGTTCGTGAGTGTTGTCCTCTCCTGATTCAAGCTATTCATAGCTATTGACATCCCCGTTGTTGAATTTGGCTGTCATTCTACCACTCGCAGCATTCGCGGAAAAATTAGAAACTGGCGTGAAATTTTGGGCTTACTGCGAGAGTCGCTGGTGGTCCCTCTGCCAACAGTGTCGAGCTCTCCAGATGTCAACTTCGGCTTGGGATGTTAATGGCATTCTCAGAGGTTGAATTGGAAACATTGGTCAAAACGAGGGTCAAAATTTTAATTTCCGTTCGGCATCTTCTGCTTGACAGCGATGGTCGTCTAGATACCCTCGAGTATCAAACTACTGTTGGCTAGATTTTTCACTCGTACGAGTTCTGCAAACGTGGCAACGTGGATCAGATTCGACAGATGGGTGAAATTCGAAATGGACGGCAGTACAAATACATCACAGTTTTAAAGGTTGAGATTAGAATTTAAACAGTTAAATCATTGCTCAGACCGGTTTGTTTAAAATTTTGAATTGTGTTGAGCGAGGTTTTGTATTTAAACAGTAGTTATAATGCTTGTATTTACATTTTAACTATGAATGGAGAAAATAGTGAAACTACAAAAATCAACGCTGTTTTATCAAAAATTAAACTAAACATATTTAGTTGATCACCTTCGGTTGCTAACTTTTTTTATTTTATTTTATTTTATTTTATTTTATTTTATTTTATTTTATTTTATTTTATTTTATTTTATTTTATTTTATTTTATTTTATTTTATTTTATACACCACCCAACAGAAAATTACATTTACAGGATGGGTAAAAACAGAAAAATACAATGCATGTAATAACTAAATAACATAATACAAAATAAAAGATGTATACTAATGTATACTAATATACTTAACATAAATCACCATGAATACAGGGTGTTCCTAAATAAGTGTCGCGACGGAAAACTGTAAATTCCTCTTGAAAAGATAAACATATATTTTTCCTCTTCCATTTTTCTGTCCGGGCTTTCATTTTCGAGATACACGGTGTCAAAATTTTTTTTCAGATTTTTGCCAATATCTTAGGAACCGTTTGAACTACAGGACTAAGCTTTTGTACATGCATTACCACTATTAATAGCTACTTGTAGCAAATGTTGTTAAATTTCGTTAAAATTGTTAATTATTACTACCTATCTTTTGAATCACAAAAGATTTTCGAAACGTTAGCAAAATGTTTGTTTTTCTTCATAAAAAGTAATGTTTTTAAAAAACGGTTGACTTTAGAGCAATTAACCAAGAGAACTCTTTTTGTGTAAAATTCATTTACGCTTCAGAATTTGCTGTCACATGTCAATTTATCCAGTGGCGTAAAAGTTAGGGGGATAAACCCTGACGATACCTTAAAATCTCCACCACTGGCACGTTCAATGAATTCGAGAAAAATGCGAAAGAGTAGCTATTAATAGTGGTAATGTGTGTACAAAAGCTCAGGCCTGTAGTTCAAACGGTTCCTAAGATATTGGCAAAAAATTAAAAAAAAAGAAAATTTTGACACCGTGTATCTCGAAAACGAAAACCCGGAGAGAGAAAATGGAAGAGGAAAAGAATGTTTCTTTTTTCAAGAGGAATTTACAGTCTTCCGTTGCGACACTTATTTAGGAACACCCTGTATAATGCATGTTCACTCAATGATTATTATTAGTTGACACGTTTGCAAATAGGTTCAAAGACTCTTGATGGATCTGGATTAAGAACGGAAATTGAAGTCCCGTTTCATCTAACAAAGTACTACAATATTCATATAGATGTCGCTACAGGAAATACGTTTATAGTAAAAATAGTACGATTATTTCATTCATTCAAATTCCGGCAAAACACACCTAAAAAAACGAGAAAATGCCAGGTGCACGCACACGTGCACGATAATGAGTTGTCCGGCCTATACGTCCATCCCACTCTCTTGCTATCTCATAATTGCATATGAAAAGAGAAGGGTAATAAAATAATAAAAACTCCAATTTGCGGCCGCCGGTTTTTTGTTCTGAAAATATTTCTATTTTCTATCTTCTACATATTATTATGTACATATTTACAAAAAAGGAGGATGGCAAGTGGTTGTACAAATTTATAATATTTGCAGCCAACTAAAAGTTTTATTTCATATTATTTTCTACATTTTATTACTTATATGGATTCGGACCAGAGTAGGTGCGAATGTACTGTCTTCATTTATACTTTTACAAATGTGATATGAAATTTTACTACTTTCTTCCATTGCTTTAAAAAGATATATTGGAATAAAAAAAGGGCTGTTTTCTACCATTTTTCGGTATAATTTAGGCAACCAGAAATGCATCAGTTTCCATCCTTAAGTCGGGAAGTATATACGGCATATTTAAGACAACACTTGTATAAGACAGAATATTAATCTTTTCAATTTTAATTCAAGTTAAAATTCATATTACAACTTTTAAAATCGAAAAGGTTATTATTCCAATGTTCTTCCAAACAAAAGTAAAACTGTACTAAATTGTTGTACAGGGGACATTGCCTCACGTTTGCCTGATTGATGTACGAGTAGAGGACTTATTTCTTACAATAACATCTCGAATTTATCAGATGACATAATCGTTCATGGTATTCGAAAACATACGCAGAATGAAAATGAATTGGCTCTCTATAATTTTCCTCTTCTTCGTATCAAACTCAAATTAATTAATAATTTGATAATATAGGTAATAATTAGAATTATAACGCAATACACGTAATTTTTGTAATTATGCTTTTACATGAAACAAAAATTTACAAATTACATACAAATTGCTAGAACAATAACAGTTTGCAATTTAATATCAAATAGGCACATAAACATCTATCGCTTTTACAGATGGCCCGCTCCCCAGCGTGCTGCAGGAGGTCTCCGTGCCCGTCATCAACAACACCGTGTGCGAGACCATGTATAAATCGGCGGGCTACATCGAGCACATCCCCCACATCTTCATCTGCGCGGGGTGGCGCCGTGGTGGCTTCGATTCCTGCGAGGGCGACTCCGGGGGACCGATGGTCATCCAGAGGGAGGACAGAAGGTTCCTGCTAGCAGGAGTCATTTCCTGGGGAATAGGGTGCGCGGAACCCAACCAGCCGGGGGTCTATACCAGGATCAGTGAGTTTAGGGACTGGATTAATCAGATATTGCAGTTCTAAGTTTGAGAATTTGGAATTTCGATCTGATAGAGAGAAGTTAGGAGAGGGAGGCTATTTTATTTTAGAATTAGAAACAGCATCTGTCAAAAAATGCGCATAACTCGATAACTGGTAGCAATAGCAAAGCGACTTTTATTTCAGGGCTAGAATGACTCACATTTTTGTGAAGCATCGGGAACTCTCCGTTTCAGGAAGAGGAGAATAAAAATAAGATTAAACAAAACAAATTGTAATCCATTTGCAACAGCTAGTATTTTTTCAGTTAATATTTTTGTCACAAATTTATAAAATGCTTCTATTACAAATACCAATGGAACAGGATGATCAGCAATATCATTTTTGTAAGAAATATACCCATTAAGTTCATATATACAAGACATTTCTTTGCAGATAGGGCGTAATTTAATGGAAAATTTCTGAGATCGAAATAGGGTGCCCGAGTCAAACATGCCTTGATCAAATATTGCTTCTATTCAATCTACAGGACATCAACATTAAAAAAGAAAATAGAACTCTGACAATATTTCTAAACGATTGCACCAATCAAGTTAAAACATTCAGTAGACATGTTTTTAGTAAGAGAATTTTAATGATAATAACAGTAAAATTCATGGTAATAATAATTTTTTGTTAATATCGCTATTTAGTAAGCAATAAGACAGAAAATCGTTTTTATCTCAAAAATGTATTCTTTTATTTTTGCTTTTAACAAATCTACTACTTTTTAAGTACTCAAATTGTAAGTATGTGAAGCATAAGAAAAGCTAAAATTAAATTTATACCACCAGTACTGTGTAGCAAACGTCATCTATTTTTGATAATTCTCTCTTAATTTGATTATGACATTTTCACTCAAGTGCATTGTTTTGCTGGAATTTCTGATTAATCTGTGTCACATTTATAATAAGACACTCTGTACGAAAGCATTAGATAGGTTGGTAGTTACAGATTACAAAAGAGCCAAAACAATAAATAACTAAACATTTTTTAATACGTTTTTAAGAATACTTTAATATAAAAAAATAATTTCCGTTTCAAGTCTCATAAAAAAAGAGCGGTCATTATATTTTGTAGCCCTTACATATTTAAAAAGTAAGTATATCAAAGGCATATTTCTTTCAAAATTGAATGTTATAGAAGTATAATAAAATATAAAAAATTTCGCAGTAACATTTTTATTATCCAAATAAAACGTTTTTTTCTTTGTTTCACTCGTTTTGCTTATTGTTACTGAAACAATATAACAAGATAATATCTAACCTTCTTCTAACTTCTAAGATTTGAAAATTTGTCACAAAACAAGTATTTCTTCAAAATAACAAATATTGTAAGTTCTTTTTGTAAAGAGTTACAAAAACCAAATATAACAAAGAAGTTACTGAATTGTAAATTTTAAAAACATTACAGGTTACTATACCTAGACCTCGCCCAAGTCATAGATCTCCCTTTAATTATAAACAACGAAGTGAACTTCCAAATATGTATTAAAAACATTTAAAATAAATTAGTGATCTGTGGTGATATGTAAACTATTCGAAAATATACGGTTTCAAAAACCCTAAACTCACTTGACATCGAATATAACGAAAGTGATATAATAATTTATTATAGAAGTTGACCATTGTATAAAAAAACTTATTATATTTTTTAGAACGTAAACCTAAATAATTTATTAATTTATGTACATTGGCAGGTAAAGTTAAAATATTTGAAAAATAATTCAACTTTTTCTGTCGATTTTGTAGGTAGCACTTTTGTACGAATGGTATTGTTATTTATATTATGTATATAGAAAGGTGCGTGTATTGTTTTGTACTTTGTATAAATAAACGTATTTATTATATTTATCAGTTTAATATATACGTTGCATCATTAAATAGGGTAAACTAATAATTTGTAATGGGCTTTACATACATTATACTTTACCTATACAGGATACATTGTGGGTATAATTAAAATACTTGGTCAAAATGACGGAATCTACATCAGAAAAATATTGTTCAAGTTCGACTAATAATTTCGAGAAAAATACACCAACATCCTGGTCTAACTAAAATAAATTTAATAAAAATGTTTATATTAGCATTTGGAAAGAAACCGGTCATAAGAAAAAATGAGGGACAGTAATTATAAATAATAATCGTAGGTAAAGGAATAATTTAATAAGTGCGGATAAGCTTCTGAGACATAAACATTTATGCAGTGAAGGGTTTATCTACTAATATCTACTAATGGATTTCAAACCAGGCAAATATAAGTTTGTTGAAAATAAAGCATCAATTTTTAATCATTTTAATCTGCTGTGTGGCAAATTGCGTTAAAGACATGCTGCATATAAAATGCTTTTAGACTATATCTTTGTACTTGAAATTCGAAAATAGACCAATAAACCACAGGGTAGTGTATCTAACCAATATCAAAATGGTCTAATTTTTAATCTTTTCACAAATATTACTGCTGTAAATGTTATGCTAAATATACAGGGTCTTTAAAGGGTCTGAACAACTCTCCACCAGATATAGTACGGATCTAAATAAGTCGGTTTAACTAGACTTGCCTTAATCCAAAAATTGATACGATGGGAGCTACATCAGGGTATCAAAGTTGAAAAAATAAATAACATTTTCTCTAATATCATGAATTTCGTGAAATTTCGTATCCGGGGTTTTTTTGGGATGAGAAATTCTAGTTTATCGACGATTTCGTTGTTATCTTCTAGAGGACGCCACAAACGATCATTACGACGCATTTAAACTACCAAATCTGTTTTGTGCCACGGTGTATTTCACTTTGGTCTGGAAAAATATTTTCCTCCAACTTTTCTGCTTAAAAAATGTATACCTTGCTATATCTAAAGCCAACCGTTGTGAACAAAAAGGCATTTACATTTTGTAAATGCATAAAAAATAATATTTAAAAGTTATTTCCAACTCCATTGAAAAACAATCTTTAAAAACAGGTCAATAACAATTAGTTATTTTTTACATTTTTAGATCGTTTGGATTGGTTACAATGTTTAGATTGTGTTTAGATTGTGTTTAGATTGTGTTAGATGGATGATTAGTTTTTAGAAAGTGTTTTTTACTATGTCAATTGTCAATTGTGATTGCAGTAAAATTATTAAATAAAGGAAAATGTTAGTAAACGAATGCTCATCCCAAAAAAAAACGAATACGAAATTTTACGAAATTCGCTCGAAGTAGTCGGAAGATATTAAAGAAAATGTTATTTATTTTTTCAACTTTGATACACTGTAGCTCCGCTATCAATTTTTGGACTGAGACAAGTACTTTGAGCATTACTATATCTGGTGGAGCGTCGTACAAACCCTTTAGAGACACCCTGTATATTTATAACCGTTTCATTAATTTTGAATAAAATTTAAAATATATACAGGGTGATTCACAACTCATCCAAAAAAAATTTGGGAATAGATGCGGCATGAGAAATGGAGTCAATTTCGTAAAAAAAAAATTTTGTAAAATCCTTATAGTTTCCGAGAAAAAAATTATTGAAGTTGTAGTACATTCAACCACTACATAGCTGGACAACTGTAGTCTCTAGCGTCATTCGCAATACGCGTGGGGAGCCACGTGGTCTTCGCGACTCCGAATACTGAAATCCGTCATTGCGATAGTGTTTATCTGTTATCTGTGATATTAACAACAGTTTTTTAGTAGTTATTGTCAAAAATGGTTTGCGTTTTTAGCAACTCAAAATTGATGGATATCGTTTTAAGTTATGGTGAAGCAAGACAACATTTGTATTATGGTGAAGCATTTGTGTTATGGTGAAGCAAGACATCATTTGTGTTAGTTCGTAGAAAGTGATTAAGATGGACCCAAATGTGTTTACACGTTAGTGGATAAAATTTTGAACAATTGTTGTTGTAACATCGGGTATGGCGTTCGCATTGTGCAAGGTCAGGTTTTACAGTGGACCAGTTTCCAGTGCCGTGCAGAAGTGTATTTTTTTGAATAAGTTCTGAATCACCCTATATAATAGATATCTCCATTCGTAAAAAAATGCACGTTAGATTGTTCTAAACTTCATTATTTAAGGCATCAAAATCAACGTAGATGATAAAGTTGGACGTGCTGAAACATTTTCTGCAATGTTTGATAGACACTGAAAAATTTCTCCATTATTATTGTTTTATATTTTTAGTTATTTGTAAACTTACAATTATATAAATGACCAACAAGACAGATGACTTCTTACACACTCACTCTCTCTTGGTGCAAATCCAATTTTTACTGAAAATATACATGCACATTTTTCTTTTTGTCAAAGAAGCACACAATCAATAATCATGGAAAGATAAAGTGAAAAACAATTTATTAAAAGTTCCCAGATACTAAATTATCTATCATATAGATGGATTTAACTGAATTAAAATTTATGCTTCCTTCACAGTAGAATAGAAATACGGAAGTTAAATGTTAAGTTTTGACTTAAGTTTTATGAACAAGTTTGTTTTCGGATATAATTTGATATAATTAATTATTCAAGGTGTTTAATTCTAACCGCTAATGTAAAAAGAAATATACAGGAGTGAGACGGAAACTTCTATAATTGTCATCAAGCTCTTCGTTTCAAAAAACAGAACGTTTCAATTTACTTTTTAAATCGATTTTTAATTAGTACCACATTTGTCTGAGATACAATGCATTAAAATATTCAAATTCTCCACAAAATGTATCATAACAATACTCGATTTTAAAATTCCGCCTTTCTCTTATAAAAAAATATAACAAAAATGAAAATAAAAATTTTCATCGACAAAAATTATTCAGAATGAAAATGATAGGTCATATTTCTCATCAGCACGTCTAGCAGTTAAATTTCCCAGATTGCTCTAAATTAATTTTGTATTTCTAACGATAATTGACAACCCTATGGTGAGGCTCGAAAAATGAGACCCGGTATGCAAACAACCATAAAAAATATTTGTGACAGACTATTGAAAACATATTAAAAAATCAGATTTGATAGTACCTACACCAGAATAATTTAAATAATTGTAGTTATACTAAAGATTTTTCTTTAGCAGATAATGAAAAAGTTATATATTTGAACCAAGAATATATAGAATATTAACATGATTATTAGTGCCTTGTGGACGTTATATTCTTTAAAAATGTTTATTGTGAACGAGAATAGAAAAACACTAACTCTATCTAATTAAAAACAGTTCTTCTTATCGGCCCTCTTAACACCTTAATTTTCGGTTAGTTTCTTATTTCTGTTAACGAAATGGGATATTTCATGGTTCAATGAAAAACCTGGTCAGTAAAATGCAGAATCACGATGTTATTATCATGTGAAACATTGAACAGTTTTTCTAAAACGTTTACTTATTCCTCACTTTCAACTCTTTTTGCATCTTTTTTGTAGACGCAGGAAACACTTCTACTAATCATTGTGTTCCTCTCCTGCGTATCCTGGGTACACTTTTACTTACTTTTTATGACTTGAAGAAAGGCCTAGTTTATGAAGTTAAACAGCATTCAGGAAAGTTCTAAAAATACTTAAACCACAGTAAAACGAAGAATTCAAATACAAAATAATTTCTCGTGCTTATCCTAGATGTCTGGCAATATAAAATCCAGGTTATGTTTTTTCGATACTTATATTTTATTATTAGTCGGATATTTATTTACCAATTAATTGAGCAGTTGGCCTACTATAGGTATCATACTCAAAAACAAGTAAGTGTATATATAGGTAGACGTTATGGATGTATAGATACTTTCTCTTTTCCTTTATTGATTTCATTGTTCAGAGGTAGTTTAGAAGCGTAAGTGCGTAACAAAGGTGCCGACAAATCACTCAGCCTGATGGATGTA